GTGGGCGAGTCGAGAGGAGGGTTGGGGCGGGGTGGGGCGGGGTGGCTCTTGGCTGGGTATTTTAAGAGAGCGCTCGCATCGCGGAAAATCCCTGTCGGTCGGCCGGCGGAGGCGTCTCAACGAGCGACTCGCACTGGGGCGGCCACGACGACGACGGGGAGGGGGAGGGGGGAACGACGGGGTGCCGACGGTGGGCTGTCCTGTCCCCGCGGAGGGGGAGGAGGAGGAGGATGGGCGTTTGTCTCGCGTGGCCGGGCCCAGATCGGGGAGGGGCTGAGGGGGGCGGAGGTCCTTTCTGGCCGCACGGGTTAACCTTTCCTGATGGCCGCCCCAACGGCGCTGCAGCGGTACTGCGGGGAGCGGGCGAAGGGCCGCCCGCGTGGGCCGCCACCTGAAATCGTCCCTGTAATACCCCCCCCCCCTCCAGCCCCTTACGAGCGACGTTTTCCCAACCTTATAGTGCCCATAGTGCCCCACTGACTTGAAGTATGCTCTAGTATACTTGACGAGGGGCAAGAAAATAAGTCAGAAACGGACAAGCAAGTCGCGGTCGTGGACTGCTTGTAACCTGTACGCCTGCAACCTGTAAGCGGTACTTACAGTAAGTATATGCAAAATAAAGGAAGGGGTCTCTGTAGGCCACCTTGTATAGTTGGGCCATCAAACCGCCCCGTGGCAACCAATCATAAAACGGTATGTTTTTTTTGTTTCATCATGTTAACAGCCTTTGCAAAAGTATTTATATGAATGGCTTGGACCACTTGCAGTGCTACAGGAGCAGTTCACGCGAGGGCGCTTGACTCACTGGCTAGCGCCTGCTGTGCTGACTCAGGCCAGGCCGCAGCGGCGCCGGCACCACCGCGGTGCAGCGCGGGGGCTGCGGCGGGGGCGGCGGCGGGGGCCGTGGACCGCCAGCCCGTGTGAGTGTATGACGTGCACAGCTGCCACTCACCGGTCTCGGCGCGGGTCGCTGCCCTGGGCAGGTCGCGGGGCCCGGGGAGCCAGGAAGTCGTCGGGGGTCGTCGGGAAGGCTGCGGGACGCAGGGTGTCGCTGCTCGTCAGCGCCTGCTGCCGCTGCTGTTGATGTTGTTGCTGCTGCTGCTGATGCCGTTGTTGTCCAGGCCGGTTGCTGGCTCCGTCGGGGGGCGGGGGCGGAGGCAACGGCGGCATCGGCGGCGGCAGGGGTGAGGCGCCGTGGGGGCTCGGGGGCGGCCGCTCCCACGTGACCGTCCAGGGCAGCGACTCCCGGCGGCCAAGCAGTGACGACCTCCGCGACTGCTCCAGGCGCTCGTCGAACTCGCGCCAAAAGTCCTGGCTGAGCCGCGAGCCCGGCGGGTCGTACACGTGCGCCGGGGGCGTCGGCGGCGGCGTCGGCGAGGCCGGCCGGTCCCACAGGTACCTGCAGACGCACGACGTCGTGGTACTCACTCCGATAGGCAATGTGCGGCAATGTGAGAGTCGAAACCACTCAGGACCGGGAGTCGTGTGACTTACTGGGGGCTGAGCTCCGTGTGGAGGTCGATAAGGTCCGGGGTGGTGTTGACCCCCGGCCTCGGCGACGCTCTCGACGGCGCCCTCGATGGCGTCCTGGACTCGAGCTGCGCGCGGCACTGCGCGATGATGTCCAGCGCCTCCTCGAACTGCAGGTGGAACGGGCTGGTGGAGGCGGGCGGCGCCGTGGCCGGCGCCGTGGAGGTGTAGGTCGCTGGCGCCGCCCGGATGCAGGGCGTTGAGGGCGCGCTGCGGCCGTGCCCCTGCTGCGGTGCGGCCCCAGGACCTCGGCGCTCCCTCAGCGACCTGGTGCGCCGCGGGAGCGTGCTCGCCTCCGCGTGCCGTCGGTCGTCGGCGTCCTGGTCCACCCCGCGGCCGCCGCCGCCGTCCGAGTTTCGTCTGCTCGCCGACCTCGATAGGGGCCAGGCGCCTATCCGGTCCGTGGGCTTGACGTTGTGGTCGTCCTCCCTGTCAGGGTCCTGGATCCACCAGGAGTCGTCGCGGACGATGCGCATGGAAGGCCTCCGTCCGCCATCCCTGTCGCTCCGCAGGCGGAGGTACGTGGCCACTACCTTCTCTCGGAGGTCGTCGTCATCAGAATCCTGCTCCAGAATTGGTGCATTAGAAGTACTATTGACTCCGCTAGTGGAAACTCCTCAGTCACCACTCCACCTGCCCCACCCACCCCACTCCTTCCGCGTACCTGGTCGTCGTCGCTCCGGTCGTTGTCTCGTTCGTCGTCGTGGTCCTGACCCTTGTCGTTTGGCTCCGGCTCGGGGGTCGCCGTCAGGTGGATGGGCTCGGGGACGTTGACGGGCGTGTTGGCGCGCTCGGGCTTGGCGACGAGCAGCTCCAGGGTGCGGCCCGCGCGCCTCAGCACCTCCTCGGCGGCGCCCCCGCGCAGCTGCATGGCGTCCACGCCCTGGACGAAGAGCACCTCGTCGCCGGGGCTCAGGTGGTGCGTGGACAGGGTCTCGCCGTCGACCTGAGCAAGAGCGGGAATAGGGTTGGAAGCCCTGCTGGAAAGTTTCCGGAAAATTTATGTAAAATTTCAAGGAAAAAATAAAAAAATTCCCAGATTTTAGAAAGTTTTCCGTTATTTTCCGTATATTTTTTATTTTTTCCCGGAAATTTCGGTTGTTTCCATAAATTTTCCAGAAATTTTCCGGAAACTTTCCAACCCTAAGCGGGAAACGGGTGTGGGTGTGAGAATCGGCGCTCGTCGCACCAGGCTAGTTTAGGCCGCCCTCCGGCCACGAGTGCCACATGGGTGGCCTGACTGCCAGGCGCCCACCCGGCGCGCTGGCGGGGAAGAGTTTAGAATTGTGACGATCTTGGCGCAAACGATTTCGCATGACCGAAGGTCCCCTTTATTGGGCAAAGGCATTCGTGCTAACAATTGTGAAACAACAGCCAAATATTAATCAAAAGAAATAATGGGAATTACTTGTAAGCGGCGGGATCTTTATACCCTTCGTTGTTGTGTGTGACATTAGCCTTGCTTCCCCAAACGGCTGCCGCCGACGGTACGGCGAGGGGGAGGAGGAGGCTGCACCGCCGATTGCAGGGTCGCGACCAGCGCTCTAAGGACAAGGGTGCGACGCCGACGATGCGTCGCCGTGACCCACATAACTCGCCCCGCGTGCCTCGGCGGCGGTGCGCGCGATGCAGGTGAGGGGGGGGGGGAGATGGGCGGTGCACCAAAGGGACCCGGGGGCATGAGGCGGTAACATCAGCGACGCGCCGCCAAACGCCCAACAATGTTCGCAACATCCACGCGACGACATCCTCCTATCATACCATTTCCGGGAGACGACGAGACGCTATTGGGCCGCGGCTGGCAGAGGCGAGATGGTCTATTGTGTCTGTCGCTGACGCGCGGGGCGGGGCGGGGCGGGGCGGGGTGGAGCGCGGCGGGGCGGGGAGGGGCGGGGCGGGGCGGGGCGAGGCAGCAGCCCAGTCTGGCGGGAGACGCCTTCTTACCAGCTGCTGCTGCTTCTGGCTCGGAGGACCGGCGGAACAGTACGCGATACTCCAGCCAGGGCACTATATCTTTATTATTACCACCCGTTCTTGGGCTGGTTTTGTTTGACGGGCAGGACACGGGGGCTGACGCCCGCAGTGCTGCAAATCTGCATCATAATACCCTCTTGGATCACGTAGGGGTTTCGCTTGGCCGCTTACGGGCGGGGGGAATACGCAAACCTGCAACGCACCGTGGTCGTATACCCGCTCTGATACAGCCGGTATACATATGGTTGGAAGCTCCGGAAAGTTTCCGGAAAATTTCGGGAAAAACAGAAAATTTCCTGGAAATAACTGAAAATTTTCCAAACCTTGGAACTTTTTTGGTTATTTTCCGTAAATTTTCCGAAAATTTTTGGAAATTTCAAACCTGTCTCGGTCTCTTCTTTCCTCCGTCGATCTCCCATCCCGCGGTCGCGCCTGCAATACTGATGGCACCGGCGCGTGCAGCCAACGCTCCTGACTGAATCTGCATCATTCTGGGGGAATGCGGTGGTTGGGGGGGGGGGGCGGTCCGCTTGCACCCCTTCAAAGCCTTCCTCTCCCCTCCCCCCAATCCCATCCCGAAGTGCACACGGGCTGGCGCGCGATTCACAGACACTCATAGGTGGTGATTGCTGATCACTCTAAGCGCCATAACCGTCACATGCCTGCCTCGGATCGACACGCTCGCCGCGCCACGAGCGCTGCTGGTGAGCGTTTGCAAGTGAAATAAATATCGTGCCTCCCTACACATTCACGCACGTTGAATTTCGCAAGAAGTCAACACACCGACGGGAACAATCTTGAACCAAATGCCTCGATGGGACGCGGTCTCTGTCTTATTGGTTTATCGCCTAGTAAGTACGTCCGGTTTTTTTTCTGTATTTTTCTCAGAATTATCCGGCAAAACAAATGACGGGAGCTTGGCGCCTGCGAGACTCGGGGTAGGCCACCCCGCAGCACATGCACGCGCTGCAGGCGAGATGTTGCCTACCTACCAGGCGCCATGAGAGCTACGTGCTGGCACGCGGGGCTGCATTGGGCGGGTTAGTCACGACGAATGACGAACGTACTTTCTGGGTGATCCCTTTACAGTAGTTGCAAACGACGGTGGCCGCAAAAGTAAACCTCTAGGGATGCAAGCCCTGGAAAGTTTCCGGAAAATGTCAGGAATATTTCTGGAAAGAACGAAAAATTTCGGGGCAAAAACGGAAAATTTCCGGAGAGAAATGAAAACATTATCAGACTTGAAAATTTTACTGTTCTTTTCCGGAAAGTTTCAACCCTATAAACCGTTAGGGAATAAGCTCGATGTGTCTCTCTCACCTCCGTGATGCACAGCGGCCCCCGCTGATCGCCGCCGCCGAGGCGGATCCCCCAGGGAACCGCGCGGTTGGCGCGGTCCAGCTGCACGGCCAGCATCTGCGGCATGCTGACTGCTGCTGCAGCTGATCTCTCTTCTCGCTAACCGCTTGTTGCTGTTGTTTTTGTTCTCTTGCTGAACGCCGCGCGGTTTGAAGTTGACTTCTTGTCGCTGGGGTGTGCAGCGGCGGCAGTTCTGATGTCAAAACGCTTTTGACGGCTGACGTCGCGGAAGTGAAGTCTTGAAGGCAAGGTCGATACGGTCGTGATGAATTTTTCTTTCTTTCGAGATTTCGAGTTTCTCTTGTTCGACAAGCAGTGTGGCCGTTAAAACACTGGTCGGTCACACACTAGGCCGCCGGCGGGCCGGACGACTCGTCGGATTTAAATAATTGGTATTATTATTATTTCTTTATCGTGTTGGTCGCGCGGCGCGCCTCCACCACCGCGGCCGCCCGTCGGGATGACTGACTGGGAGCAGGCGAACTCATCGGAAGCGATCGCGTCTCGATCGCGCCCGTGTCCTGGCGCCCGGCCCAGCCCTTCTGCGCTGCCAGCCGGGCGGGGCGCGAGGCGAGGTGGGGCGGGGCGCGGTCTATGTACCGCCCACGACGGACGTGATCCGATGATGAACCAGTCTCCCCAAACGTCTGTTGGTGACACACGTGGGCGAGTCATATGATTCGTACCCTTTATACAATGCGGCGCCCCGCGAAGGCGAACGACGACGTCATCCTGGTGGTGGAGGAGGACGCCGTTGGCACCAAACGACTGCAACAACTGGCGTGTTTGTGAAGACCCGTAATGTCATCTAGGAGCGGACCTGCCGCTCCGCCCTGACGTGGAGGTTGGCGCCAACACCAGGCTCCAGACGAGGATAGGAGGAACGCAGGGCCCAGGCCGCTGAGCCGCTATGAAGGGCCAAGGCATTGCCACTTAGGGGAGGCAGGGAGTTGCAGTAAGAGGTGGGGCTGAGAGTGGCAGGAGGGAGACTTTGAAAGGACATCCGCTGCTGCAGGGAGGAAGGGGGGCGGGGACTCCTGGAGACAAAGCAGCAGCCCTCTACGCCTGTCGCTCTCTCGCTCTCTCTCTCTCTCTCTCTCTCTCTCTCTCTCTCTCTCTCTCTCTGGCTCCCTCCCTCCCGCTCTCTCTCCTCCTCTCTGTGTTGGGCCCTCCAGGCGCGCTGCACCCGCCGCGACGTCGGCTTTCCAGCCACCTCCGCGTCGTGGAGCCGCACCACAACCCCGTCGGCATTGAGCTCGCGGGGCGGGGCGGGGCGGGCCCTTGAGACGGCACCGTGTCGCGACCTTCCGCCGACGCACCCACACGCTTTGGCTGATTAAATGCAGAGGGAAGCCGACGAAGGCGTCAGGGAGAAATAGTCGTCCTCGAGTTACGCTTCTAGGAACCCAGAAAAAGTTGTCGCCATTTTTTGATATGTTGTTCCCCGCACTTCAAAACGCACATATAAATATATGTTGTGTGAACCAAAAAAAATATTTCTTCACACTTACAATATTTTTAGCAGTCAGCGACAGCGTAGAATCGATCGTTCCCTGGAGCGTCAGCCCGTACTTCGCCTCTACGGCTCAGTCGGTAGCGTGTCCGCTCGGAGCGCGGGAGGTTGGTAGTTCAATTCTCCGACGATTTGAAATTTTTCTCAGGCCACCAAATTGCGATCGGACTTCAAACCCGTCATTTCACCTCGCCCTCTCGTGGTGTCCCGATGGCGTAGTGGTTACCGTTGTTGGTGGCACTTCGTCATAGGTGTCAGAAAGTGTCGGCTCTGGGCCGGGGTTCGCGCCCCGGTGCCTGCCACCTCGCTGTGGTAGCGGGGTGGATGATAAGACCTAGAAACTGGCTGAAAAGGGCTCCATGACCTGTGGTGGGTCAGTACAGTTTAACCAACGTACGCCTCAACCGTCTCACAAACCCCGGGAGTATGTTCTGACCACTGCGGTTGGGAGCGGCTGTTCGGAACAGTGACCACAGTTCGCTTACTACTGGGGTGGGATGAGGAATGTACTCCCCCATTTTTATCTTTTATTTTTGAAGCCTGTTCTTCTTTGAAGCACATTCCCCTCAAATTTCAGCATATCGACGAGGTCGGAGAAAATTACCTCGGCCAAAAGCTAGGTCGGACAGCACTTTTGGGGATTTTGTCACCAGGTCGGAGAAAAATAGGTCGGACAATCTAGCTGCACCGCTCGCGATGTGAAGACGTGGGTCACGCCTCGGCTCTCTCCTGCAATAAATAACAACAGCCCGAGTGCCACCGGTGTATACCGACCGTGGGTGGCTGCAGGTAGGTTGGGGTTGGGGGGAATAGGGGCGGCTGTGCTATGGGCTGCGCGCGGGCGGCTCCGACGTCCTTTTGTTGGTGCCGTGCAGGCTGTGCAGCCGCCCGAGATCCGCCGCGCCGCTGCTGCGAGCTGCAGGCAGCCAACCCCTTGTGGAGTGGAACAAGAGCAAGGCGCCCCGCCTCGCCCCGCCCCGCCCCGCCACGTCATGTACACTGCTAATCACGGTGCCTCGTTGGCGGG